CAGTTTGTGGCACCAAGACTTACATTTTAATTTTTGTATGACTACCAGTATAGGTACAATAGGCTTCTTTGGTGCTGTGCAATAAAAAGCAAACATCTCTCAGTGGAAAGCTGCCTATAGCTCGCTTCTATGAACTAATGCAGCATGTAGAATATCTTGCCATAGCTCACATCTTTGATTCATTTTGCACATACTTTTAAGAAAGTAAAACTGAAAAGTTCCTTCAACACTTCAAAGAACATCAACAAAAAAGTATTAAAAACTTGATACCAATTTTTTTTCTTGTAGTTTAGCAGTCACAGTTCTAACAAACAAACACAGGACAGTTTAGTAAACATCACTCAGTGCAGTATACTTATTTGCCCTGTAATTTTTTTCCCAAATACTGAGGCATTTCATATTTAGCATCCACAGAAAAAAATGCTTAAGGTGACTTAAAATAATGCTTCCCCCACATAAAAACAACTAGAAAAGAAAGGTGACCAGAAACGAGAAGGAAATGGCATGAAGCTGTGTCAGGGAGGTTTAGGTTGGATATCAGGAAAATGTTCTTCATTCAGAGAGTGTTTGGGCACTGAAATGGGTTCCCCACTTGGCACAAGCCCAACAGAGTTCAAGAAGTGTGCAGAAAACACTCACAGGCGCATAGTGTGATTCTTAGAGCCACTTGGCACAAGCCCAACAGAGTTCAAGAAGTGTGCAGAAAACACAGGCGCATGGTGTGATTCTTAGAGACGTCCTGTGCAGGGCCAGGAACTGGAATTTGTTAATCTTTATTGGTCTTCCAACTCAGGACAGCCTACACTCATATTAAGCAGACCTATACAATTCTATAAGTAAGGCTTTCCTCCACGTCACCCTTCTCCATCCCCCCACAAGCTGACATCTGACGGCATGACCCTTCCTGCAATGAAGGCTTCTTACATGACGGGGAGCTGTACAGGAGATGGACGAGCAGTAGTTTAGCAGTGCCACCCAGCAACTGTATTTGAGATTTATTCTGCCTGTGTACCAGAACATGGCTCATGTTTTAGTCTCGGTGATTTCTCTCTGCAGTGTCTTTTCTGGCCCGAGTTCAGTGAGGACGCACTCATCCCCTGAAACCAAAGCAGCACCCCTGAGGGAATCAGACTGAACTCCAGCGATTAAGCAGCACCACCAAGAGTTACAACCTCCCTCGTACCTCCTGCATGCCCCAGTTTAACAAATTAAGCCAGAAGCTCGACTTCTGTAGGGGTTATTAAGCTCTGAGTGACACAAACACACAACACCCCCCGGCCCCAATACGAACATAGGGCCCTCCCCACCGAGCTCTTCCCGGCCAGGAGGGGGCAACAGCTCAGCGCCGCTTGCCGAGGGCACGGAGGGCCCGGTGCGCACACGGCCCCGCCGGTGACCCGCCGGTGTCACGGGGGCCCCTCACAGCGGCCCCGCGCCCGCGGGGCACTACCTCTTCGGCGGAAGGACACGGCACACAGCCGCACAGGCGGCTTTCCCCCGGCGGCGCGTGTCCCTCCGCGCCGGGCGGCGCAGGCCGGGGGCGGGCACGGCGGGGCCGCGGCCGCTCCCCCCGCACTCACCCGCAGCCTTGTCCGCCGCCATCTCCGCCTCGGCCGCTGCTCCGTGCGGGACCGCGCAGCCCGAGCTCGCCGGTAGTTGCCGAGAGTCCCCCGCGCGCTGCGCCACAGGCACTGCCCGACCGCCGCCACCAACCGGCCGCTGGATCCCGGCGCTACTTTGCCGCCGCCGCTGCCCTGCGCGCTCCGGGCCCGCCCCGCCGGTTGCGCCGCCCGCCCCGATTCGCCCGCCGCTTCCGGGTTCCCGGCGCGCCCGCGACGTCCGGTGGTTGCTGGGGCACCGCGGATGTGACGGCAGGACGCGGCGGGGGGGAGGGAGAGGTGAGCGAGGCGGGGCCGCCATGTTGGCGTGTGAGGGCCGGGATGCGGCGTTGCGCGGTGCTCCCGCGGCACGGAGCTCGCCGGCAGCTGCCGGCCGCTGTCTCGAACCGGGTTTGTCCTTTCTACCCCATTGAGACGTGCTGGCTCTCATAATGGATGTAAATATCTAAAGGTGGGGTGCTAAGAGGATGGAGTCAGGCTCTGCTCGGTTGTGCCAAGCAATGGGATAAGAGGCAACGGGCAGAAACTCATCCGTGGGAAGTTTCACCTGAACATGAAGATGAACTTCTTTACTGTGTGGGTGACTAAGCACCTTAACAGATTGTCCAGAGAGGCTGAGGAGGCTCCGTCACCAGGGATATTCAAAAACCCCTGGACACAATCCTGTGCAGTGTCTCTGGGATGGCCGTGCTTGAGCAGGGAGGTTGGACCAGCTGATCCACTGTGCTCCCTCCCAGCCTGACCCATTCTGTGATCTCCTCCAGAGCAATAGCGGTGACCTGGAGGCTTCTGTTCAATGTATTCTCTAGTTTATATGCATTATCAGGGGGACGATCTGAAGTGTTGTTAAGATGCTTCTCACCATACTGATTAATGGCAATAAGTGCCCGGTGCAGGCTCAGTGCTGACATCCCACATTCCTTCCTAAGTGGCAGTTTGGGCACTGCACACCCAAAGCCTGGGCAGGGGCACAAAACCCTCATCACACTGAGGACCCTAATTAGCCTTTTTAATGGTTGTTCTTATATTTCTTATTAAAGTAACAGACGTGGGATAAATGGCACTGGCATTATCATGAATATTAAAGCTGGCATTATCATGAATATTATAAATTCTTAAGTGTTTGTGTCCAGTTCCAGGCCTCTCAGTTCCGGAAGGACAAAAAGGTTCTGGAGTGGATCCAGCAAAGGTCAGTGAAGCTGGCTAAGGGTCTAGAGGATAACAAGGAGCAGCCAAGGGAACCAGGGTTGTTTAGCCTGGAGAAAAGAAGGCTCAGGAGTGACCTTATTACTCTCCACAACTGCCTGAAAGGAGGGTGTAGTGAAAGGGAGGTCAAGCTCTTCTCCTGGGCAACCTGTGACAGGACTAGCCTCAAACTGTGCTGGGGAGGTTGGGCATCATTCTTCATGGAGAAAGCAATTAAACGTTGGAATGGATTGCTCAGGGAAGCAATAGACTTGCTGCCCCAGCAAAGACTGGACATAGCACTTAATACCATGGTCTGGTTGACATGCTGATGATCAGTCATAGGCTGGACTTTCTGATCTCAGAGAGCTTGTCCAAGGTAATGGATTCTGTGATTCTGTTATTACTTGGATCTGCTATACATAGTATTTTAGCATTCACCTTTGCTACGATGTATCTTAGCAGGCTGAGCAGCCACTTCTTGTTCTGACTCTTGGGCATAGACTCTGTAGATGAGTGCAGAGGAGCCAGGTAGGGGGTTCTCTTTTGAACCCTCATGGTTATATTTACAACAGGAAGTAGGATGAGGTTAGAAGGCACCCCAGAGATGTCCCCTTCAAGCACCAAAAAGTTCCTTGTGTCTCTGTCCCTTGGAGTCAGGCTCCACAGACACAGGGACAGTTACCCTTAATGGCCATCATCGACATGCACTGTGCTTCTTCTGTGTCACTGTGGGGTCCCTGCCAGACACTGCTTCCACAGTGATAGCCAACAGTTATCTGTTGATATGGGAACACTTTCTTCTATTATTTCTCCTGATGTGGTTCTCCCCCTTCCCCCACTCCTTCCTCATTTATTCCTGTTAAGCGTCACCTTGTTTTCCTACTTGTGACAGCAAGCGTAGATACACTCAGTTCTGATTAAGAGGCTTTAGTTTGTAAGGTTTTTGTCTCATTGCCAGCAGACAACACTTGTCAAGACAGCCCAGAGTGTCTCACGCACACTGCACCTGTGGTGTTAGGGGAAAGTTGTCCTTGGAAAGTCAACAGCTAAAGGGATTCAGTGTATGCAGGATTTCTTAGCAGTCTTCTTGCAGTGGCCTCCAGTGACAGTGTTCTCCCTAACTCTGCTATCAGGCCTCTCAGAGAGGTCAGGTTTGTAGGTAAGGAAAAATTTAACACAGGGAAACAGCTGAGAAGAAATGCACTCTAACACATACCAGCTCTGAACACCTTTAAATCACAGCTTTTAATGAGCCAGGCCCTGTAACATGAAGGATTCTGAAAAGGAACAGGAAGATTGAAGAGCAGGATGATTCTTCCTATTTTGTAATTGAAGTTCTGAATATTCCAAATTATGTCTAATAACTTACTGTTTATCACCGCTTCTTCAATTCATCTTCACTCAACTCTGATCTTCAGGCTTTCTTTTAGACACATATATGAGAAATAATCACACAATTCTTATTCTTACATATCTTATTCCAAGTCTCTGAATTTGTTGTATCTTCTTTTGTAAGAAGTTGGACAAGACCTGTATGTATTTGTGAGTATCTGCAAGTTGCAATAGCAAGTACTCCTAATGTGTATATATTTAAAAGTGTAATTATTTATTAATGTTGCCATTCTATTTATTTATATGTGCATATATATGTAAAAACCATGCTTTTTTGGTAAGAAATAAAACCTGTAAAGGGGAGAGCACTGTGCTACAAGTGTAGCTGCATATTCTCTCTGCTTTTATCAAAACAAGGAAGTCACCAAAAATCTATGCTGAGTGACCAAGCCAGAATGGCCAATGTGGACCTGATGTGAATGTCCATGTCTCTGTCTCCCAGGCTTGGTCCAGTGTTTATTCCCAGTGCCTGAGCAGGAGCCTGCTTGCTCCAGAGCATGTCACATCAGGATGGGCACTGTGGTGAATTTGCCATGCCGTACTGTAGCTTTTCTTTAACAATCATGTCAAAACCTATTTAGCTTCAGTTGTGGCAGCCCTGGTATCCAGCTGCTCCTCTTCCACATCGTGACATCTAGAGGACAGTAAGAGTTTGCTTTTTCCATGTCTTGGCTTGAAAATACAGGTGTCTGCTAAGGAAGGCAAGAGCTTCCTTTGACATGGAAAATGTAAACCCCCTCCCTCCGAATTATTATAATTTTAAATTAAGGAGCTCTAAGAGACTCAATGGCCCATTAACAGCAGATATATCCCCAAGGGAGGCCATGGAAGAGATAAAGAAAACTGCCAAAGCTGCTTTTGACAGGTGGCCCAATTAACAGTAGATAACTGCCCCATCTCTAACAGATGGCAATAGAATACACACCCCCAGCCACGTCTTGCAACCTAAGACAATCCATCATGCCATAATTTTACCACAGGACTTGTTTACCTGAGAGGTACTTACAGCAAGCTTTGGTATAACTTCCATTATCATTTTGCCATGTCTGCAGCTTGTAGTTCCAAAATAATTTCTCTTTTTCCATTTCTAGGGGGCAGACAAAGTAATTTTTATCAGCTGGCCTTTTTTTCAGTATGGATTATTTTTAAAAGGAACTTAAATAAAATCTGTTCTTATTAATACTCAATTGCTTATGTGTGTGGAGCTTACTGAAGGAAAGGAAGAGACCTGCCCTTTATTACAAGTCAAACACACAGTCATGCAATCAAAAATGTTGACATTTTTCCTTCAAAAATATTGTGATAGCTTCACTACTTTCCTGTAAGGAAAGAGGAGCAGGTTTCTTGCATAATTGTTTCTTATGTTATACTATTGTTTCTATGTTATACAAGTTTCTTGTATCATTTGCATTCTGCTTGGGTCTGGTCTCAGGGAGGCGGGCACGCCATCTGCTGTGGAAGATACAGAATAAAATCAAATACCATTTGTGAGAATAAAAAAGTATGTAGGAAAAAAATACTTCTAAAATATTAACTCTCCTGGAATTTAGTTTTTTTCAGGAAAGAATTTACCACAATTCAGGCTTTTAAAACAAATCTCATTCTGAAGAAAATAAACATGGTACAGAGATGGGCAGTTTTTCTAAGTTTCTTTTGCCCATTTCTAAGTTAAATTGTTAGAAGCCCAAAGAAGCCAACTGTAACTAGTAATTTCAAGGACAGTGGAGGAAGTGTCAGGAGCAATAAAACCTATTTGCTCTCAGACAGAGTAGTCTCAACATCTCATTCCTGCCTTGTACACTACCTTCCTTTAGCAGACCAGATTAAGCAGAAGTAGACCAGGGTTTTCTCTCTGCTTTTGGCCTCAAAAAGCAAACTTTTCAAGGCTCTGTTTCAAGTTCTTGGAGACCCAAACACAGCAATACAGCAATCTCCTAGCCAGCCTTGCAGCTGTAATGAGATGTAGATAACCTCTCCACTGATCATACCAGCAAGACTTGGCTAGCAGAGGAGAAAATCAGGATTTGTGGCATCCTCAATCACTGCCAGGCTATGGAAGAGAGAAAAGAGTATGACCAGCTCCAAAGGGACCTGTGAAAATTACATGCTTTTGCCAGATTCCACAGTATGAAAATCTCAGCAGCACTTTGTTTGCCTAGTATATTCCAAAAGAGAATTTAATAGAAGAACTATTTTCTATGTTATTATTAAAGCTCCCTCTCCTTTACCACTCTAGTTTAAAAGCCATTACCCCCTAGGTGGCACTGTCCAATAAAACAAGGCATGTTTAAATATGGAATGATCATTAAGAAAGAGTCATTAAGGTTGGAAAAGACCCTCAAGATGAACCTGTGGCCAAACACCACCATGTAACTAAACCATAGCACTTAGTGCCACATCCAGTCATTTCTTGAACACTTCCAGGGATGGTGACTCCAGTGCCAGGAGCAACAGGTTGTACCAATGCTTGACAACTCTTTCAGTGACAAAATTCTTCCTGATGTCTAACCTGAACCTCCACTGGTGCAGCCTGAGGCCATTTTCTCTTGCCCTGTCACTGGGCCTGGGAGAAGAGGCTGACCTCCACCTGGCTACAGCCTCCTTTCAGGGGATTGTAGAGAGTGATAACGTCCTGCCTGAGCCTCCTCTTCTCCAGGCGAAACACTCCCAGCTTCTTCATCTGCTCCTCAGAGGACTTCTGCTCCAGACCCTTAATAACCTTTGTTGCCTTTCTCTGGACACGCTCCAGCACCTCAATGTCTTTCTTGCAGTGAGGGGCCAAAGACTAAACACAGAACTTGAGGTGCTGAGCACAGGGGGACAATCACTGCCCTGGTCCTGCTGGCCACACTAATTCTTTTACAGGCCAGGATGCCAGTGGCCTTCTTGGCCACCTGGGAACACTGCTGGCTCATGTTCATCTGGATGTCAACCAACACCCCCAGGTACTTTTCTGCTGGGCCTGTGGAATTCTTGTTTACAATATAAACTAGTGTAAGTATGTTGAATGTAGCTATTAGTCTCAGCTTGGTAATCCTCTTTTTCTGAATCTGTCTCTCAGTCAATAAAACATGCTGCTGTGAATCTCATTTAAATACAGTATTTTTACTTTCAGAGTGCTATGGAATATATTTTCCTGGAAATTATTGTGCATTGCATGTATTTGTTCTGTGTGTGCTCAGTGAATAAACCTGCAGAGGCTGTGCTTACTTTAGCAAGTCATTCAGAGCAGCAGGAGCAGACTGACAGCTGTAAACTGCAGGGGCTGAGGTTCCTCACAGCTTCAGTATATTCTCACACAGAACTTATTTTGCAGCTGGTGGGAACTGGCCCAGTACTGCACATCATCATCACCTATTTTGAAACTCCCTGAAAAAAAGCTCTCTCACAAAACTTCCTCGACCACAGGACATCTCAGAAGCAGTAAGTTCCCCTCTCACCTGTCTCCCGTAGACAGTCTCCACTATGTACATAAAAACTTCACAGGCAGAAGGAAGCCCTCTTTTCTCACTCCTCCAGGTTTTGAGTGACACTGTTTTACTTGTTTCATATCCTGCTCTTCACTCTGGTGCTAGAACATGAATTGCTTGGTGGTGTAGGGGAGGAGGAATAGCCTTTGCCCTCCAGGCACTGTAGCAGTGCCAGGAAAACACCTTGAGCACACCCTTCTTACCCCTTGCTTTCACATATAAAGAAAGAGACAGGATATATTTCTGACAGTGTTTACCACTGTGGCAGGTTTGTTCACAGCCAGATAGAAATGCTGAGCCTAGGAGAGAAACTCAGACAGACAGACAGTATGTTGGGATGTGGAAAGAGAAAAAGTGTGTGCAAAACTTCTGAGAGCAAGGGGGTGCCACTGAGGAACAGGGAACCGTGGAACATAAGGGATTTAAAGAAATGATGCCACAATATCCTCAATTAATTTCTGTAATTCCCTTTTGAGAAGAGGTGCTCTGATTTTCTTCATATTATAGCACCTGGTAAATAATTTCATCATGTACATCTTCTTTGCTCACTCAAGATCTCCTCTGATTTTCCTTGTATATGGTATTATGTGTTGTCCTTTCATTTGGCTCTCACATCATTATCTTTTTCTGGTAATAGGTTTAAGTCCAGGCATCATCCAAATTGTGCCATGTAAGGCTTTCCTAGGACAAGAAACAAAATATGGTTTTATATAATCTTCATTTTTCTCTTCCGATGTCATCCAGAAGAAATCTGCCCACCCAATTACAATTACTCTGGCAAACAAAGAGGTTGTGGGAGGAGAACTATTCACATGTCAGCATACATTTGGAGTTGTTTACCTTCCTGTAGAGAAGGCCAGCACCAATTTTATAGAACTTTGGTTTCCAGTTCAACTCTCAGATTGACTGGAGTACCTTTATTTCAACAAAAGTATGCTCAGACCCAATCCATAACTTGCAGAGGGGCAAAGTTTCCAGTGTTACCCAGTTAGGAGTAAAAGGTCTCTAAAACATTTTGTGATTACATCAGTGCCTTTTAGTGCAAGCAGGAATTGATTTATTCCTAACAGGAGGATGTCTGCATGATGTATGTTTTTATGTCCAATGTGTCAGGCACTACTTTGTGCCCTTCAACATTGCAGAGCATTGTTTGACCCTTTTTAAGACATAGAACTAGAAAGCAAATGTACTTGTGATGAATCAGAGGCTTTGAGGAAGCATTGGTTCTTTCAGCCCAGCCTTAAGAATTCTTCCTGTGCTGGCCCAAGCTGATATGCACACTTAGTAAGAAACTCTAATACTGGATTTCTTTGGTTTGCAACAACTAGGAGGCTGGAGCTTATTAGGAAATTATATTATGTCTCCAGGCACTGAAAAGGTAAATTCTTCCTAATGACTTGTTTGTTGTAGTTATTATTCTCAGCATTTCTCCAGACATTCAGAAATAGATTATTTCTCTCTTGAGAAGTATAAAGCAAATTTTTTTTCACTAAGGAAACAAATTATTTTGCTTATAAAGCCTACATGAGATGTTGCAGAAGCCAAAAAAATGTGTTCAGTACAGTTTTTCTACCTTAACAGCATGCAGTAGAATTTTTATGTATGTTCTCATTATTTTTTCCTTTTTTTTTAAGCTCTCACAGGCATTTGAGTAAATTTGAAGTATTTTTTCCTCCAAAACTTCTAGGAGCTTAGAAACACAAGACTGCCACACAATTTGTTGAAAGATGTTAAGTCTTTAGTGATGGAGTTGTTTTTTTAAGAAATAGGAGGGGGTTTTATATATTATTTGCCTAAGATTGTAGGCCTCTGTAAAACTTGCATCTAAATGTCATCATGCTGCACATCTGCAGATCATACTGAGATATTCCTTTTTTGTTTGTTGTGAAAAGCAACAGGAAATACCCTGTTGGCAGCTACTATGTTCTCTGTGTGAGTCTGTGAGGTTCTGACTCAGACAGTCTCCAGTTCAAGTCAAAACCTCAGGTTTTAATGATACATGATTAAATACAAAGGGGGTTTTGTCGGTTTTTAAATTAAATTTTAACTTGCTGTGTTACATCCCAGGAACAAAATACTGCATGTGATCCTGGATGAATGCAGGACAAAAATCCTAACCCATCTGTTTTCTTTATTTATAAAGATTAATGTAGACTTTATTTTATTTCAGCAGTTCATGTTGACTCTTGAATTTCCAAATATGTTTGACTGCAGTAGTAATTTCTGAAAGCTATTTTAGCTTCTGTCTATCTGTCCTTCCTGCCTAATCTAAGTCAGTTGTAAATGCATGTGGCTTCAAAGGAGGGAGGAAAAAAGCATAATGAGGATAGTCTATGTGCTTCAAAATGTTAAAAAGATGGAAAACTATTTAAAGAACAAAACATGTCTCAGGAGCTCGACAATCACTGTGGACTGACATATGGTAATCGTATGTCAGCATATGCCTGTGCTACTTCTACAGCATATCTCCATTTGCTAAATTCTATTTGTGTCCAAAGTTGTAGCAAGAAGATCAAGTTTCAATGCAGTTTAAAAAATGTACAAGCACGATGATATGCTTAATTTTTAGTTTTCTGTAGAAGCAATCCTGCATATTTTTATTCTTTCCTTGTTTCCTTCCTCCTTTTTCTGATTTCAGACACTTCAATTTACCCATCTCACTCCGTGTTAATTTCTTAGTATCAAGAAAATTTGGACCAGCTCCAAGATTAACAAGTATTCCTTGGGGCAGGAGGGAGGAAGATTCAAAAGATGTAGTGCACAGAAACATGTAGAATTAGAAGAGGAGAAACAGTTTCAGTTTCCTGCTCTAAATCTAGTAATTTAATAACCTAATCACTGAGTCATTGTGTGTATTTGTTTCTGGTTTCCAGAACCCAGAAATTCCATTCTGAACTAAAGAAATCTCCCTTTGGAAAATTTTGCTGAAGTTAATATAATTTTAGTTTCAGTTAAATAGGACTATTAGAAAAGTGCTGGGAAATTTCAGACACAAACTAGCTGTGAGTTATGAGCTAACCCCAATTCTCATGTTGCTTCCTAAGAAATATTCCTTCCTCCATCTCAAAGCTGAGGATATCTGTTTGTTTCAGTTTTGTAACCCATGTTAAAGCTGACAAACTATATATTTGACTCTTCTGGCAATTAGAAAATAGCTTATTAGGAGCTGCAAATAATGTTGACAGTAAAATTAACAGTAAAAATACTGAGTATTGTATATGGGTCTAAGATTCCTTCATTACTACAGTGTAAATGGAAAGCATTTCACTTAAGGATACTGCCTGACAGGGAAATAGGTTAGAGCAAGAAAAGATTCCAGGGGTAACATTGTGTTGTTTGGGTTACACAGATAAAGTAAACGGAGCACATATTTCCTTTCTATCTGGAAACAAGCAGTGAAGAATTTCAATTTCCAGTCAGACAGGCAGGGAGTGGATTCTCCTCTCAAGATAAACCCAAAATAACTTTGGCAAAGAATGTCTCTAGACTGACACTGCTACAGTCCAGATGAGAAATTCCCCCACGTTTCTGAGTCTCAAGCATGGATGAACACAGCAGACCAGTGAAGCAATCATTTAATCATTCAGTTCCATTAAATGGGACATTGGTTAGCTATATGTGTCAAGAGCTAGAAAAAGGAGAGCTACTTTGAATATGCACAGGCCTTGGGATTAGAAAACCACCAGGATTTCTGCCCAAGGATTGCTGCACTGAAATGTCTTGGAGGTTTCTATCATAACCCAAAGCTGTGGTGGTGGTTGAGGAGAGGCTGTGCAATGGTTGCTGCAGTTTCTGCGTCGCTGCATTACCTTGTAATGACATTAGCACATATTTTACATTCTGTGAGGGGAATGCTTCCCTCCTCCTCCTCCCTGCCGTTTAGAAACAGTGAAGAGATGAGATGTGACACTTGAAAATGCTACAGCGCTGTCACCTCACCGGGGTAATAAGATGGTCTTAGTGGAGGCAGAAAATTCAGCTGCCTGAAGTACTTTTGCTTCGTCCAGCTGGTGTCCTACTGTCTGCAAAGCTGCTTCCAGACAGCAGTGCTTTGTTATTCACTTGACTTTACTAGCCCTTGTCAGAGTTAATTGGATTTGTGACATGGTCAGATGTTTATTTCTTGATTCTGTTGTCCCTTGCCTTACAGAACTCATACGCCAGGGGAAACAACATTACATCTAGCAAATACCAAACTATGAAGAGATACACAGAAATGCTGTCCAACTTTTTAGGAGATAAAATTTAAGGAAATGTGTGCTTAAAATATTTTCCCCTCTAATTTATGACAATATTGTCACTTAGCTCTGGTTTATTACAATAATTAAAGCAATTATAAACCCTTTTGTTTAAATATATCCACAGCTCTCTAGACAGTCAAATGTCACATTCATTAATGTGGTCACATATAAATGCCCAACTAAACCTTATTGTAGCTGAATGCTGTTTTGGGGAAGAATGCACATAAAACACAAACACAAGGTTACATTTCTGGTAAGATTTCTTAGTTTATTAAGCATTTGAAAAACTTACGCTCTTATGAAAGCCACTGCCTACAGGCATAATTTTATTATACCTTCCTTTGTGTAATAACTTCTGTTTTATATGTGAGATTATATACAATAGTAGTTATACAACTCACTTTCTAAATCTTTGCTATTACTGATGTAGTATTTTGCTGTAAATGTTTTTAAATACAATGAAGAAATGCTCATGAAGTTATTGATACCTCTAAATTATTTAAATCAAAAAACAAAAAATGACTTGATTTACAACTGCCAGAAAAAGCAGTTGAATGAATTTTGGCACAGAATCCCAGAGAAGGTTTTATTCTGAAATGCAATCTCCCTTCTTACGGAAGTTTTGCTTGGATGAGAGGCCCACACGTGACCTTAGAGAACAGATAAACACAGACACGCTCACAGCACTCTGGAAGTCACAGTGGATGCAGTCTTTTCTTCAGGCTTGAAACGAGTAAATCAACCACAGCTTTGTGAACAAGGAGTGTATAGAAATACCTGAACATTCATTCATATGCCAGCATGAGCTAGATTTCATAGATGTTATATGATAGTAACAGCAGGAGGAGAGGGGGAGAGAGACAGATTGACAAAGCAGTTAAGCATGGGCTTAACTTTAAGTTTGCATCCAAATCCTCATGAAGTCAACAGCTATGCATTTGGAGCTATGCCAGGATGCAGCTGAAGATGTGACCATCATAGTCCACTTTATGTAAGCATGTTGTTACTAAGTTTTTAAGCAGAAATGGAGTTAGGCAGTTATTGGTAATCTGTGTTATGAAAAACATGTTGGCAAAATTTTTATATTGGCTAGTGCAAGAGAGTAATGGAATCAAAAAGAAACTACATGTCATCACATCAGCAAGAAACAGTGTATGACTTGTTTCTATTTCATTCTAATTTTATTATTAACAGACCCCCAGTGCTTTCAATACACATAAAGCTGCAGCAGCACAGGGGCAAATCATTTGAGCTTGGTGTCATTTTGGGCAGCTATTTGGAAGCATCTGAAAAATGCACAAGGCTAACCTCCACTCCAACACATTGTAGTAGCTGAGAAACAGGGGAGGATTTTTTTTTTTTTTTTAAGTATAGTGCTTCCACCTTTTGTACTGATTTTGACAGGACATTGGTTCCTTAAATAAGGCAGTGTTTAGTCCTTCATCTCTTGCACTGTGAGGTAACATTTTATAAGCCAAAATAATGTCCATCTAGACTCTGAAACTGTTACTCTACCCCACTAAGAACTTCAGGAACAGACTTACTGCCTTTAGTGAGGCAAAGTCTGAAGTAAAATCACTAAGCAACTTTGCTGAAAAAGCTACTCAGCTGGAGAAATTTTATCAGAATATCATCTTCTATTGTATCACTGTTTCTGTTTGCCAAATTAATTACAAGATTTTCTTATGTTCTACTGTATTATGTTAACTAAAAATTCTTCATTACATTTCCTTGAGGACAGTCATAAAAAAGGCATCATCTCCAGACAACGGTCTATAAAATATTTGGTGTATCATAGCTCTTTCACAGGCATCTTTCAATATCTTTATTCAGCTTCAATAAAATTGAGATTTCTTTATTTACATGACATCTAGTAACAATCTACAAGCAATAGCTGGAACAGAAAAAACAGTTCTTCTCCAACCCTGCCTATTATTGTGGAACTGATTTAGTTTTGGAGTAGAGGTCCATTAGAAAGATAAGTTTTCTAGCAAGCTATTCAAAAAGTAGAAAAATATTAAAGAGTAATCAGGAAAAGGAATAAAAATAGCTTTGTGCATTTTTATTATTTATTATCCTGAGTTGGCACTTACTTTGATACAAAGACTTACACATCCCAGAATGCTCCATGCTCTTAAATTGTACTTTTCTCAGCCCTAAAAAGATAGTATAAAAAATACTAAGGTCAACACACCAGCATAAAGCTTATCAGCTTCTATTTATTCTTACAGTTCTTTCACAATACATTATTAATACCAAGGTTGTATCAACTACCATGAATATCTAACTGATTAAAAAATTGCGTGTTAGTCCACAAGACACTGTTGATGTCTGATTGAATCTCAAATAAGATTAGATACTGGGGGGGGGGGGGGGGGGAAGTCTTTTAAGATAAAAGGAAAGCACAAAACCTCAACAAAACCTAACGCTAATGTCAGAAGCCAAATTCCAACTTAAAAAGCAACATTCCTCTAGACATGCTGCTGCATTTTGTGTCATTTCTTCATGAACCTTCCTCAGAAGCAGGACTGCTACAAAGTGATGTGTTAAAGGCATCCATCCCTGCTTTCAGGTACAAGGCCTTCCTAGTGACAGAAATAGGATGTCCACTTATGAAACAATTTCTTAAAGAGCTACTAAAAGCTGGCACAAGATAAAACATTTCCAGGCCTGGAAGTTCCTTAGCTTCCAGCACTGCCAGGAGGCAGCAGGCACAGCCCCTCACCCCAGGGTGACAGGGACCTTTTGGGAGGGAGTCCATCTGGACACCTGCTCAGGGACCTGCAGCCCTGCAAGTGCTGCCAGCCCTGCCGCAGAGGCAGCTGCAGCTCTTGGAAGGCTGGGCCACCTGCCAAGTGGATGGCTAGAGAGCTGGCAGGCAACCAGCAAGTTTCTGGCAAAAATTTGACAAGCTTGGGTTCCATAAGGTTTCTCTTTTAAAACATAAGAATGCTACCTTCTATTCACAACAAAATACTAAATAGTTTATGTTAGGAAGTGCGTTTCGTACAAGCCCATTTTCTCCCTCCAAAAATACACACTGAGGAAAATTTAACTTGACAGTTTGTGGTGACGTTCAGATAAAACCAAACATTAAGGAATATATGCCTAATGAGAAAAATTAGTATAGAAATAAATAGAACCACACAGTCTACCTGGTATGTCTGTGTCATCTGTTGCTCAAGCACTGCAATACAGGGCACTGTAGAAATTCTGCAATTAGTTCTAAGAAAAACTGAAATATCACAATGTATCTGCTTACCCACGGTGCTTCCTCAGGCACACCAGGGCCACAGGCAGGCAGACATTGACTGGAACAAGGGGTTAAAATGTAACTCTCCTAACTTTTTATTGACTTCCCTTAGCTAGAAATAGAAAAAACATAATGTGATTTCCTGATATAGCTGAGTATGAAGTTGTCTCAGCACAATTTTTAAAATGTATTGTAGACATAAATTAGCACATATTAATGTTAATAGAGTTATAATGCTTATTGTGTCTGAGCTAGAACCTTCAGCTTGGGTTGTGCAGTTTGCTTAAATATTTAAAAGAGCAGGAAAATCTACAGTCCTACTGCCAAACAGCATAATAATTAAGTAATTAATCAGCAACTACTTAGCTCTTGAACTAGCTAAGCTAAAGAATTCTAGCAGCTGTACTTTTGGGGATTGAAGGCTGAATCCACACTGATGGATCCAATATTCCTTCTGCACTGGTGTCAGTGCTTTACACTCTGACACGGTGGCTGGCAAGCCCCAACCCAAGTTCATATTGTTCTATATTCATATATGGTTTTACAGTCAGGAGTAAGGAATTCACTATAAGGAATGCTGACAGAGTTGTCCCTTGTGAGTTTCTATGTCTGACTGAATTTGGTTTTCAATATTCCCCCTTCAGCTTTAAACAAATGCAGGTTTCATGCACTCAGCTAAGTATTAATTAGCCTGATGCCTATCACTTGGGGGAAAATAACGTTATGCCATGTTACATTCCTTCAGCTCTTATGAAGTGTGAGAATCAGTTTCAGCTCTTGTATGCACTTGAACTTCTGCTTTTTTGTGCGGGAACCTAAACAATCTGTTAATGAAAGTAGAAATCACTGTAGCAGAGAATCACTGTCCCATTCTGTCATTTTACAGCAAGGAAACACCAGCATTTATGGTATCCTTTTGCAGCCAGAAATTTCTGTTGTACCAGTACAAGACTTCCAGGAGAAAATACCTGGCAAAAGACAATGGAAAATGCTAAGTCTTGTCTCAAAGTTTTCATTTTATACATTGCAGTATTTATTTAACTTCCTTAATCAAGGAAGGTAGTTAAGTCCAACTCTTCTTCCTTGACAGCCAGCAGGAATAGAGGTAGTCAGTACACATTTTAATGTGCTGCTGTCTCCTGCACTCTCCAGACCATCGAGAGAAACTCTGCATTCCCCGTAACTCTGCCACTTATGGATATAATGATGAATATAATATATGTGGCTGCCTTCCTAACAATACCTAGCAGCATCCAGCACACATGCTCATACTGTATTAGACTATACCAATTTTGTAAATGTGGAAAGAGACACATTTTCTGAAGTCAATGAGTACAGCTAGAAAAAAACATACCAAACAGGAAGGACTGCACTGCAGGCCACTTGTGTGAAGCAAAGCCTTTTCTTCAGAGAAGGACACTTTTATTTCACAAATTTATATTAAGCTGAATTTCTTTGTCCAGCTTGTATGTTCTTGGTCACTGGCATTTTTCATGAGACAAAGCAAATGCTGATCCTCTTTGGGCTGTAAGGGAAAACATCTGCTAGTCAGAACTGGGGTATTGAGAGCACTTGGTCAACCCAACTTCACAGAAGGTTTAAGTACCTCCAGACTGTATCACATCTGTCAAAGCAGAAGCAAATACAACATAAAATGTAGAGCAGGTCCAATTTTTAGTGTGTCAGTAGAATCAGCCTGCAGTTATTTTTAACTGCCTCGGAAAGCTTAGCAGGCAGATACAGTTAATCCTTTAAAGGATTTGCAGGTATTCATAGCTTAATAAGTAAGTATAGTGGATTAAACCAATAGGAGACCGTAGACAGTCAAAGACAACCTTCACATGCTAACATCAAAGAAATAAAAAGAACAATTTCTTTTATATAGTTCTTTCCTGACAATCACCCTAAATTGTCAGTATGTGCCAGAATCCCAGAGAGTAAAATATGAAATAAAAATGTTAGTCATTAACGTCACCATGTGTGATATTTATCAGAAAGCAGTGAATTTCTAGTCTTCTATTTCCATTATCCTATAAGTGCTTTGAAAAGCAGAGCTGCATTGTGAAAACAAATTAAAAATACATCTCCTTATGTAATAAATAAATAATAAACATAAAATGGTACAATTCATTTTAGTAAGAAGAAAAAAGGCTGAATTATTTTTATAGGTTGTATTTTATATTGCTTGTATTCTTTTCCAGGATTCACTGACTGAGGCTTAGCTGATAGATGTGGGCCTTCAATAATATTCATAAACACTGTGAAAAAGAACACACATGATAAGACAATGGAAAAAAAAAATCAGATGACACAAAACTATTAGGCTGAGGAAATCCAGGACTAGCTATGAAAAGCTTTGGAGGTGGTTCAATACTGAATGGGTGACAAAATGCCAGAGGCTATTCCGTGTCATTAAGCACAATGCACATCAAGAGGGGAAGAGAAAATACACATATATGTGTATATATATATATGGGGTGTTAGTATCACCAGGAAAGAAATCTGAAAACATCTAGTGCTTAAAGGAACAAACAAATTTGGGATTTATTTCAAAATCAACATAGAAAAACATGAAAAATCTGCCCTGTAAACACTCAGGCCACAAACACTTTATGAATACTATATGGAGCTTTAGTCATTCCATTATCAAAAATGACACGGTAGAATTAGAAAAACATCTAGAGAAGAATATGAGAGAGAGTAATGAACTTTATTCAAAAGGTAACCTGGTAATAGTTATTCACTAGTTTTCACAATAAAAATATTGGAAGGCATGCTTTTTTTTTTTTTTTTGGTTTTTTTTTTTTTTGGTAATAATAAACTAACTTTCATTAGATATTGTGAGGCACAAACTGCACACGGATCAGAAAAAACATGACTTCATTGATTCAGCAGTTCTATTCAGTAGGTCAGCAGTAACTGTTAAACAAAAGAGTCTCCTCATCACTGAAGGCCTGAAGAGCATGATAGAAAAATCACTGCAAGCATGACTGCCTCCGGACATTTTTTCCATAAGTATCTACTTACTGGGTTAGGCAGACTTTTCATCTGGCTGAATTCAGCAGTTCTCAGGTCCTCATGACTAGAATGACTGAAATCATGATGTATATTGTTTGGCATATTGTTACAAGAAATTTGGCCAAGAGCTCCCTGCTTCTATCACTGCTACTTAAAAAGAATCACAATAAAACAAAAATTGCTTCATTAACTGACTAACTGAAGCAGTCTAATTCCCTGCACATTAAGGTTATATATTCTGGCTACCTGACAAACCACTGCTTTCACCCTTCAACTGTGTTAACTGAAATATAGTTGAAATATATGTAGATAAGAGATACATGAAAGATAAGAGTAGGATATTACTCCACAAGGTTATAATTAGGACCCTGCTCTTCCCAGATGAGTCAATAGTGGGATGTATTCTTGACTTTGATGCTTGAACAGAATTGTGAAACATACAAACATAGGACTAGAAGGGAAGTCCTAAATCACTGCAAGTACTCAACTCTAACACTTGCAGTTGTATCACTTAATTTATTTCACAAAGTGACCAAAGTCCCTTTAGTAACCACTCTATCAGACGGCAGTCTCGAAGTGTCTCTCTGACAGACAATTCTGTTTGATTTTTAGAGTCAGTGTATTCCTAGTCAGTTGATGACTTATGCTTTTCTACTAACACAGTTCCTTGGCTTCAAGAGAGCTTTACCTCTGCGATGGTACATTCAGAGAAGCAAATGATATCATCTGTTAATACTTGTTTAGCTTGGCTCATTGAGGCAAGCCCTTTCACTGCAGATCATGGTATGCAATGCGAAGAGGTCCCAGCTGGCTGTGACACCAGGCCTGTCAGGGCAGAGACACTGCAGACATTCCACTCCCTCATGGCCCTGGTCCCAAGAGCTGTGCAGATAGGTTGGCACATTCCTTTCAGGCCAATGTGCCCTGTCACTGAGACAGCCAGTCTTCCTCAGCATGTATTCAGAGCCAAACTGAAGTGGCTGCACTAATTCACTTCTGGAAACAGTTTAGTGGTGGTTAGATCAATTATTTATATACTTATACTTCACTGTGCAGTGTAATTGCACTCCTAGTTTCTCTCTGTACACTTCCAATCCCATTGATCACCAAGCCCTTTCTCCGCACCGACTCTGTACCGATTTGCTTTTCTGGAATGCAGTATTTGCATGGAACAGACTCCAGTTTTTCCATACATCTCAAAGTCTATGATAACCTTTGACACGCAAACTGAAAAGATTTTCAGCATTTGTACTAAGGGCTCTGCCGGAATGCTGAGCCCTGCAAGTCACTACAATGACTCTGAAGCTTAGAGACAATTTTATTATGAGAATGACACCACTTCTTATCGTTTTGGAAGAAGCATCTTAATATAGTAGCGGCAGATAACTGACATCAGCATCACCAAGTTCCTAAGAGATGCCTGAGAAGGGAAGAAATGCAGTTAAAACCATCGGAAATCAGGATTGACAGAACACTTGACAATGGTTCTGCACTTTGTAAGAGCAGTCTATCTTAATTTTTCACACGCTCCAATCTTTCCCCTTTACAATCCAATTTGCTTAGGCAACCTGGACACCTTTCACTCCTCATGGTTTCTCTGGCTCCGTTCCATCCTGCAGATTTTTTGCTGCAAGTCATTCCTACTAACAGGCACTGCACAGAGAATACAGTTTCAGGAAGCCTACCACTTATCTCACTGAGTGCTTCACTGTCATATCAGCACTTTTTCTGAATTCAGGAAGGGCAGGGGTCTATGAGTGGAAATAAGAGAAATGGCTTAGGCAGTGGATTCTATCCTGACACAAGCATGAAGGAAAGGCCAGAACAAAGATCAACATAAACCTCAAAAAAAGGATTTGAGGGCATAAAAGGGCTCCAAAACACAGAGACACCATAAGAAGAGCTTTATCACAGAGGGAATGAAACATAGTATCATGGAATCACTGGGTTGGGAAAAGACCTCCAAAATCATTGAGTACAACCATCTACCTAACACTGACGACACTGAATCACGTAAATCAAGTCCCCCGGTGCCACAACATCAGAAGCTCCAGGACCTTAATGGTCCAGAGTGACTTGGTGGGTGGGAGGATGAGGGGCATTCAAGTTTTATAGATGAGTAAGAAAGGGGCTGTGAAAGACAAAGTAGCTTAAGAGAAAGGACACACAGAAAAACATTTAAAATGAAGATTTTTTTTTTTTTTTAATGCGTGGCCTTCTGCAGAAATTTAGATTTAGTTATTATATAAGGGCTGTGTATGCATATTTAGTCTTGTGAAAGCAAGCAAAATACTACTGAAGTTGAATATACAGCCCATATGTATTTACCCCAATATGAAACCCCAATATGTATACAATACTTACCTTACAGTAATTTATACTCTAACACATATTTTGAAAATCTGTAACACATATCTCAAATCAGACTATGTAATTAGAAAGATCTGTTTGCTTAGCAGAGGAAGCAGAGTAGTGGTACTTCCTCATCCCCTTTCTGCCATCCTAATGCCCTATTGTCACTGTACCTGGCTGCTGTGTTCCTCATGCATTGAAGAAATGAATGAATATGAGGAAACAGCCTGCAGGAAACAGTCTGTGTTTGACTACCCTTTTATGCTTATTTTGCTTTGTGGCAATACCTCTGGCTTAATAGGGGTTTCATTTGATTTAGTTCAAGTCAAGGGAAGAATCAGCCCCACGATGTGCCCACACACCTATCCAACATGGCCTTAACGTTCCTGACTAACCTTCTGAACACCTGTCCAAAGGCAAAACAAAGCAACTGGAGATTTCACATGCAATCTGAACGTAATGTGATGTGAGCCAGACAAATGCTTCAGCTGACCTTGATCTCTTTCCAAAACATGGAACACCACATTAATAAATATCAATATTCATTTAGAAACCTTCAGAGCACTTAGCTGAAATACTTTCATTGTAGTCATATAGTCAAGTGTTAGCAAATTTTCATCTTAAAGATAGATGCTGCATTGGCAGCTGGCAAAGAATTAAGAGAAAAAAATTAAACCAAATACAGGAAGCCCTAATGACAAACAGAATGCCGGACAACTATGAAGTTTTTTTGGGGAAGAAAACCCACTTTGATTTTCTTAGAAAACATGTAATGTTGAATAAATCAGGAATTTTTCTTTCCTTACTTTTCTTTGGTACTTTTACTCACTCAGGTATACTTACTGTGAATCAATTTCATAGAACAGTACTTCCCCAAATTAAGATTTGATCCTTTTTCTTTATCCTGTCAAGATTCTTACCAAAGTTGTTTGGTAAGAATAAATTGTTTTTATGGTCCACACATAGAACAGTACTTCCCCAAATTAAGATTTGATCCTTTTTCTTTATCCTGTCAAGATTCTTACCAAAGTAATGATAAATTGTTTTTATGGTCCACGAGATGAAAGATTTATTCTTTTATTATGAACCAATAATTTTATTCAAAAAATCAGTCAATCCTCAACTCCATCCACAGAGCTGCTCCCATCTTACAGG